AAATTTGTAATTATAATTGAGACAATGAGGAACACAGGAAACATTTACTTCAGGGGTTAAGCTAAATGTAGGTCCTTATGATAGGGATTTTAATACAATCACAAGATTGTGCCAACCCACAACTGAAATAATGGCTTTCAACTCAGAAATACTTAATGGAGCTTTATAATATTAGGGGACAAATATAAAATTGCATGTGCTACCTAAGGCAAGTTTATTAGCCAAGCGTCTTTCTGAGCTCAAAGAACCATGAACTCTTAAAAAATTATCTGTTAAAACATGTCATAAAACTATTTTTCATATTTTGAAAATATTTTTATTTTCTTGATGATTCTATAAAACAAGTTTACCTAACGATTGTAAAAAATGTCACTAAAAGTGACAAAAATGTAAGCAAGTACTCACCTTATTCAGCCATTAGTGAAATTTGGCCTAATTTTTCTTTTTCTTTCGATTTAAACACCATTACAACTGTATATATATATGTTTTGCAGATGGTAACAACAAAATGTATTAATTAAATCAATAGTCTAATCTGAAACATGTTCAGGTGAATACTCGGGTGGATAAAGGTCGGCATTTCAAATAGTGCCAAATACAGTTATTAATATTTTTTGGCGTATGATTGTGATATAGCTAATTTCAAATTACCAGAACTAGGGTCAATTTTAAACAAAACCCCTGCACGGCCAATGTGTCACTACGGGGCTGTCACGGGCTCCACTTAATTGCACGAGCTCTTCGTGGCCGCAGTTAGTTATAGCTTGTTAATGTATTGAAAAGAAATGACAATAATATGTTATTATTAGCAGAATCTTCAGAAAATATTCAATCCATTATTATCTTTTACTGGTCAATGCAATGTAAACTTAAATAGAAATATAACGAACGTGATGGCACTAATAAAGTTTAATGGAAAATTAAGAAAGCACTACAAAAAGTAATGAACAAGGTAAAAGAACCCCCCATCCCACTGGGGGATATTTCCTGTTTCAAACATGTGCAAGAACAAGAGGCACAGAGAGCCTGTATCGCTCACCCGATTCTTTTGTTACATGAAACTGACATATAGTTAACTTCAGACTAAGATATTGTTGTTTGAAATTTGACTCCAGCTAGCACTTAAAGTTGATATTTGACCTCATTACTGTAATTAAGAAAAAGATTCGCACTGCTGGTCCACATAACATACCCAAATATCATGACTCTAGACCAAATGCTTCTTAGGAAATCGTTATTTGAGTTTTTTAACATATTTGAGCCCCGTGAACTTGAAAGTAGGTCAAGGTCATTTTAAAGAGGACATTTTATAGCACTCCATCCAAGGTACCTATTGGCCAAATATTATGACCCTCGGTCTTATTGAATTTGAGAAGAATATTGGTGAAGCTTTTGACCCATATTGACTTTTGACCCCCCACTAGCACTTAAAATTGACCTTTAACCTCATTACTGTGAATAAGAAAAAGATACGCACTGCTGGTCTACATAACATACTCCAGTATCATGACTCTAGTCCAAATGGTTCTTAGAATATTGTTGTTTGAAGTTTTAACATATTTGGACCCTGTGAACTTGAAAGAAGGTCAAGGTCATTTTAATGAGGAAACTTTATAGCACTCCATCCCAGGTACCCATTGGCCAAATATTATGACCCTCGGTCTTATTGAATTTGAGAAGAATATTGTTAAAGCTTTTGACCCATATTGACATTTGACCCCCGACTAGCACTTAAAGTTGATCTTTGACCTCATTACTGTAATAAGGAAAAAGATTCGCACTGCTGGTCTACATAACATACCCAAGTATCATGACTCTAGTCCAAATGGTTCTTGGAATACTGTTGTTTGAAGTTTTAACATATTTGAGCCCTGTGAACTTAAAAGAAGGTCAAGGTCATTTTAATGTGGAAACTTTATAGCACTCCAACCCAGGTACAAAAAGTGTACCCATGTACAATTTTGAATCCCCACTACCTAGGGATGCTTCCAGTAAAATATGATTGATATCCATTGCACAGTTCTACAAAAGAAGTTGTTTATAGCAATATAACCAAATTGTCCCCTTTTGGCACCGCCCCTCAGCCCCCTGTTAACCCTACCATTTGTACAATTTTGAATCCCCACCACCTAGGGATGCTTCCAGACAAATTTAGTTAAATTCCAATCAGTGGTTAAGAAGAAGTCGTTTGAAGAAATTGTTGACGTACGGACGACGGACGCCACGGTATGGCATAAGCTCACCCTGGCCCTTCGGACCAGGTGAGCTGATAATGGAGCAGACGTTTGGAGGTTTCATTGAGCACCTGGTATAGAAAGAATCATTTATATTATTAATTGATTATTGAAAAGATTGCTTTGTGTTCAGGAAACCACGGCTAATTCTATGTTTAGGATTTTTTACATACTGGTTGAAATTATAATAGTGAATGGAGTAGTGTGAGAAATGAATTGTTGATACTAGAATTAGGGTAAATGTTGAATGATGACAATGGTAAGATTGGTGTAGTTAAAATATTATTTAACGTAGAATTTGTGTTTTTAAAGGATTTTAATTATTTTTTTATAGAAATTATATAAATATATACGTGGAAATTTATATACAATGTTTAATGGAACCCATAGGAAGTGCACATTTGTTAGAAATTACCCTTCGTTCGTCCGATGGTTATCTCATAATTAAGCTCAATATTGCAGAGGGTCGATATAATAATGTTGTAAGAAAGTAACGAATATGTATATAATGCAACAATCCTATCTATCTACATGTATCAAAAGCCGCTATGTTAAGAAATGCTATCACAAGAAACCGTTTATGTTAGTTTATTTAAGTAATGAAAACTGATAACATAAAAGTATCAAGCACAATTTATTCAAATCTGGCGTAAAACATAGAGAAGTCACCAAATATTGTATATCTGCACTACCTGAATTGACGTGTGCACATTGTAGAATTTTCTATTGTATGTTAGTATTATATATATATATATGTGCACGCAGCACTGTACTGATTGACTAAAATGTTAAAAGTAATAAAACAATTGCATTCGATTTCACAGTCACTCCTGATGTCTTGACTGTAGTTGTGTATAGGCGAGTCTTTTCTACAAGCATTTCGTCGTACATCGTACATGTATTGTTCATCTTACGGATATATATAAACCGTTACGGTTAATCTTAAAAACGTATTTGATACATAGCCAAATAATAATCATATAATTTTAACTAGTAACAAGAGGAACAGAGGGCCTGTATCCCTCACCTGAATATTTAAGCAGTCATAGCAAAATATTCTCATTAAATATTATTGCAATACGGATATTTCCCTCGCAAACTTTGTCAACTACATCTGTTGGAACTATCAGCCAAATATTATTATAAGATTCTATGCTTTTTTGGTTCTTCTTCCGAAGTTGTTTGCTATATTTTTCCCTGTGACCTTGTAAGTAGGTCAATGTCATTTTCCTTCTCAAACTTTGTTAGCTCTATCCCAAAAAGCTACCAGCCAAATCTTATGAATACAGTTCTTTTGGTTCTTCAGAACAATTCCTTTGAAATGTTGTTGACCTCTTTGACCTTTTAAGTATGTTGAGGTCATTTTAATTTTCAAACTTTGTCGGGCTCCATCCAAGGAAGCCACCAGCTAAATTTGAAGATTCTATTCCTTTCAGTTCTTCAGAAGAAGTCGTTTGAAGAGTTTGACACATTTGACCCCTGTGACCTTGAAAGTAGGTCAAGGTCAATTTCGTTCTCAAACTTTGTCGGGCTCCTACCAGCGAAGCTTTCAGTCAAATATCATGGCTCTATGCCTGTTCATTCTTCAGAAGAAGCCGTTTAAAGGAAAAGTTGACGGACGGAAGGACGGATGCCGCACCATGACATAAGCTCACTTGCCCGTCGGGCAGGTGAGCTAAAAACTACAAAAATCAATTTCATGTTTAAAAACATAATATCAACAAGGTTTATAACTTTTTTCCCTTAATCAATAAAAAAATATGAGATCTATGTACATCAATAAAAACATTAGATTGCTGAAGAATCGTATCTTTCCCAGTGCAAACTGTCACGGTAATCCCAACTTATTCGGTAATCCTAACTTATTAGTCATACACACTGTGAGGTTAGAAGTATTGCAGTATAAATCAAAATGTGCAAGAATTTAGATGTATGAACTTACAGTTTTATAAAACGTGTTTTTTCAGTGAATAAGTGTTAACTTTCTTTATACATTTCTTTTGAAATCGTACGGCTCTTAGACTATATTATCACTAAAACCTTTCCTCAAGAACACCATGCTAGAAAGTGATTAATTGTTTGTATGTCTTAATTTTCTTCGTTATATCTGGCAAACTTCTTGAGCAGTGACGTCTACAAATGCACATACTATTTGCAAGTCTTCATATGATGAATGATGATTTTTCTGTAAAGTCTGAATGTGTTGTTTCCGATATGTGTTGGTAAATATGCAAGTCCTGATATTAATGTTTCCTGTCAGAGATATTTCTAGATGTTGAGTAGGAAAGTGTTATGTCAGATGTGTCTGCATTTAAGACTATAAAGGATTATTAGCGCTGTCGTAGATATGCCTACAAACATTTTAGCGGTAATCTTATATTAGCAATTGCGTGTTTCTAAATATAACTTTCTATCATATTTGTTGTGGGGTGTGATATATCCTCTATGTAGTATTCTGTTGAATAAAGGTACTTGATCAAACCGTTGTACTGCACGCAAATACAAAACATGCATCGATATTTATTTCTCAAGAAAGACTTCTGCTGTCTGTAGATTGGTCCTATGACTAATATAGGATCTTATATGAGTTTCCATTTCATAAATTTCACATGAAATGAAAACAAGTGTAAGATCAATTTTATCACATAATCAAGATTTGTGGCATTTATTCGTGTAAAACGACAATTTTCATGCAACCTTGAAATGTAAAAAGCCGCCATTAAGACTCCAGTGCGGAAGTCTATGACGTCATGTATTTGTCCTAGGCGTGACGAAACAATTGGAACTTTCAACCAATCACAGGGCTAATTGGTCATATTACATGGTTAATACGCAAAAAAATGACATAGGTATATTCACTAGATAACACAGTACATTATGTGATAAAGTCTCTTGCTACATACTGAAATCTATTTTTATATTTTGGTATCATTTTGTTTACCGCTCAAAAACAATCCGATCCCTTAGGTACTCATAAACACGCACATAAAAGCCTTCAATCAAAAAAGATATTTCAGAAAACATGATCTTCTTTATTTCATTGCAGCTGTTGATATATGACGACATCGGAGAGAATGTGAGACGCGCTTTATACAGAATACCGCTTACATGTTAACAGTACAAACATCTGCTGTCGTTATCGTAATATCGAGATTATTTATGTGTTCTTTAGTAGAATTATGGATTCTCACATTATCTTTAGGGTTTGTTGAGAAAACAATTTTCTCGCGAGCAAGTGAATAACATCAAGAAGTCATGACTCGAGATTTCGTTCATGTGCCCGCGACGAGAGTATTGTTCTTACGGCAAACCTTGACAATACTGTGTGATAAACTATCATCTAAATACTACTACCTTACAATATGTCTCCATTCGTAAAAAATCAACTAAACATCATATTTCCAAATGACTTGTAAGTTCAATGATCATCAATCGCGAATCATCGGTCTATGACAAACGTAAACTAGTAGAATATTTGGGCGGAGGAATACCATGAACCTTTAAACTATGTAGAAAAAAATATTTTTAAAACAATATTATTGCATAGGGTTATCGATATTCGTATATACACTTAAAATGGTGTTGCTATTCTCACAATTTGTCTCCCAAACTGTATATTGATTGTTTAAGACGGACTACTAACATACGCTGAATACCTTTGTGTGGATATTATTCCGGTTCAGGACGTCACCTGGCGTGAGCAGACGTTCATATTTTCTAGAAAGTACGTTCCCAAATGGGAAAGACCATTCAAAAGTTCTTCTCAAGTGGTACTCAGCTTCTTCTTGATTTTGTGTCATACCGACAACCCATCATAATAACGTATCATGCTACCGGTAGGTGGTATAAAGTAGTATATAGATGATGATACAATATATCTCATAACAACGCCACATATAGACACTTTCTATAGACAGATTATTTGTACACGGTAATACAATATTACACATTTATTACCTTACTGAAGGACCGGAACATACGATTCTTTGTTTCTCCGAGGTTAATCATGTTTCACGAGGGCCAAGCCCATGTGAAACATAATTAATCGAGGAGTATACAAGAATTGTGGTTCCCTACTGCAAGGGCAATATATATTTTATTGTGTCGAAAAATCCAAAACAATAACACGATAGTAAAGATGAGCAGGTTGACGCGCCACTGTTGTCGTCTGCTTCCGTCATGCCGATTTTTATAGAGATTATTCAAATAAGGGAAATATGACCCGTCATGTGACCAGTATCGTCCAATCAGACACGCTATTATAACACGAGGCCTAGGGGCCTTAATAGCTCACCTGGTATTTTGATTTCTATTTAAAACCTTCTGAGTACCATACAGGTTTATCGAAGGAGTACAAGAAACCTTCGGGACAGGTGAGCTAAACATGAGGTATGGTAATAAACGTGTATGCTTCTCTTATACCCGCATGTATGTATCAAATGTTGTATATGATAAGTATTATGCTGTCGACGTCATTAACAAAAGGTACTACCGCAAACATAACACTCGTAAATTGTCCATTGTTTATGTTCCGAGATGTGTCTGTAGATACGATGGCTAAATCCTTTACTGACATCATGGCTGTAGGGGTTATCCCTCGTAGTTACTATTGGTTGGAAGTGTTTGTAACGTAGATGAATGACCTGACCACAGACATCGCAACTTTAAAAATACGATCCGTTATGTGTGCTGACTTGCAGGTTATTCTGTTTTACTTTTTACAACAGATATAAAGACTGCAAGGTATCCCTGCTGTATGTTTTCTGATAAACGTATGTTGGGAGTCTCTCCTAGGTAAAGGAGATTAACATTAGACCTAACAGTTATAAATTAAAACTCCTAATGCAGCTGCAGAGATGTGTCTGGAAGGGATGCTTGTCTATACAATTTTACCACAGACATAACTTCTGTAAAGAGTGTCTCTTCCAGGTTTCCCGAAGTATAACCTTAGGTGATGAACGAAACCTTTACCTCAGACATTCCATTTTAGGGCGTCTCTTTGGTATGTGTCCTGGAATGTTTCTGTAGAATAGACGAATCACTAAACCTTTTACTGCAGACATCACACTGGTATGGCTTTTCTCCAGAGTGTATTCTCGCATGCCTCTTAAGGTTTGATGCCTGATTAAACCCCTTACCACAAATGTCACACGTGAAAGGCTCATCGCCTGTATGTATTCTATTATGTACCGTTCGGTGTTCCCTAGTAGTAAACTCCTTACCACAAATATCACACTTGTATGGTTTCTCTCCAGCATATGACCGGAAATGTATGTCAGATGAATAATCAAATTCTTTCCCTGTGTTCTCGTGTGTATGAATCCTGATATGTGATTTTAGGTGGTCATTCCTATTAAACTCCTTTCCACATATATCACATTTGTAGGGCTTCTTCTCCATGTGTGTCCTTAAATGTCTCTGAAGAGTGGTTGAATCACTAAAACTCTTACTGCAGACATCACACTTGTAAGGCTTTTCTCCGGAGTGTATCCTCACATGTCTTCGTAGGTGAGATGCCTGATTAAACCCCTTACCACAGTCTTCACACTTGAAAGGCTTTTCTTTAGTATGTATCATGAAATGTGTTTGCATTTTAGATGCATGGTTAAACTCCTTTCCACAGACGTCACACTTGTAAGACTTCTCTCTTGTATGTGTCCCAAAATGTTTTTGTAGGCTAACTGAATCACTAAATCCCTTACCACACAGGTCACACATAGAAAGTTTCCCTTCAGCATGTGACTTGATATGTGATTTCAGTTCGTGGGCCCTATTAAATTCCCTACTACAGACATCACATTTGTAAGGTTTTTCTCCAGTATGTTTTAGTATATGCAACTGTAGGGCAGCGGATTGAGTGAATTCTTTTCTACAGAGATCACATTTGAAAGGCCTCTCTCCGGTATGTGTCCTGAAATGTCTCTGTAGCGTAGATGAATCGCTAAACCTTTTACTGCAGAGATCACACTTGTAGGGCTTTTCTCCGGAGTGTATCCTCGCATGTCTTCGTAGGTGAGATGCCTGATTAAACACCTTACCACAGTCTTCACATTTGAAAGGCTTTTCTTTAGTATGTATCATAAAATGTGTTTGCATTTTAGATACCTGGTTAAACACCTTTCCACAGACGTCACACTTGTAAGACTTCTCTCTTGTATGTGTCCCAAAATGCTTTTGTAGGCTAACTGAATCACTAAATCCCTTACCACACAGGTCACACATAGAAAGTTTCCCTTCAGCATGTGACTTGATATGTGATTTCAGTTCGTGGGCCCTATTAAATTCCCTACTACAGACATCACATTTGTAAGGTTTTTCTCCAGTATGTGTTAGTATATGTAATTGTAGAGTATGGGATTGAGTGAATTCTTTTCTACAGAGATCACACTTGAAAGGCCTCTCTCCGGTATGTGTCCTGAAATGTCTCTGTAGCGTAGATGAATCACTAAACCTTTTACTGCAGAGATCACACTTGTAGGGCTTTTCGCTGGAGTGTATTCTTGCATGCCTCTTAAGGTTTGATGCCTGATTAAACCCCTTACCACAAATGTCACACATGAAAGGCTCCTCGCCTGTATGTATCCTGATATGTACCGTTCGGTGTTCCCTAGTAGTAAACTCCTTACCACAAATATCACACTTGTAAGGTTTTGCTCCTGCGTATGACATCAAACGTTTCTGTTTGTCAGATAAACTATTCACTTTGTCCCCACATATATCATCCGCGAGAGTGTTATTATCTGTATGAGTCATGATATGTAATTTTAGTTGGTCATTCCTACTAAATTCCCTTCCACAAATATCACATTTGTAAGGCTTGTCTCCGGTATGTGTCCTTACATGTCTCTGTAGAATAGTTGAATCACTAAAACTCTTACTGCAGACATCACACTTGTAGGGTTTTTCTCCTGTGTGTGTCCTTATATGTCTTCGAAGGTTAGATGCCTGATTAAATTCCTTACCACAGAGATCACACTTGTGAGGCTTTTCCCCTGTATGTGTTCTGATATGAAGCTTTAAGTGTTCTCTTGAATTAAATGTTTTATCACAAATATCACACTTGCAAGGTTTTGCTCCTGCGTATGACATCGTACGTTTCTGTTTGTCAGATAAACTATTCACTTTGTCCCCACATTTATCATCCGCGAGAGTGTTATTATCTGAATGAGTCCTGATATGTGATTTTAGTTGGCCATTCCTATTAAATTCCCTTCCGCATATATCACATTTGTAGGGCTTAATCTCCATATGTGTCCTTACATGTTTCTGTAAGACAGACGAATCACTAAACCTCTTATCACAAACATCACATTTGTAAGGCTTTTCTCCGGTGTGTATCCTTACATGTCTTCGAAGGTTTGATGCCTGATTAAATTCCTTACCACAGACATCACACTTGTGAGGCTTTGCTCCCTTATGTGTTTTGGTATGTTTGTGTAGGTAAGATGGTCGACTAAAACCCTTACCACAGACGTCACACGTGTGTGGCTTCTCTTTTGTATGTGTATGTTGGTGGCTCAAGATATGTTTGCTCCCAAACATTCCACCACAGACATCACACTTGGCGTTGTCTTTTTCTTCCATGTCACGAGAGTAATTTTCAGATGTTCTTTCAAAACTACCAGCAAATTACAGACACAACAGAACTAATGTTTGTCTTTGGTTTTATGATGCATTTATAAAAGGTGCATGAGTATGAAGGAATTATTTGATGGTGCATTGTTTATATTTCATTGGAATGCCTTCGGTACATTTCACGTCCAAAAGATAGTATCTCAGAGAGTCCCATCACACAAAAGTCAAATGAAAGTATCTGAAAAACAAACAAAGTACAAAATATCAGAAGAAGAACTATTAAGGACTATACGTAATATGGAAATTGAGATCTTTCTTCCATTTTGATTTATAAAAAAAAGAGAACTACAACATGTGATGGATCGGGTCACATTTTGTTATAGATAGCTTTATATTTATACAAAATGGAAGAATAAACTCATGTTAACAGGTTGGGCACCACACTTCATATGAGAAATAATGCTTCATTAGGACAACAATTACTCCTAACAGTTAAACTTTTGGGAATAAAGTGAATAACATTTTCTAAATCTTCAGGAGCAAAAGTGAACATCATTCTTTCAACAGAATCCAATAAAAACTACAGGAGGTCCTTAGAGTTTTAATGGTCAACTGACTAAGGCCTTAAATGTTAGTGTCCTGTTAAATAACATGCTAAAACAAGAGGCCCAGAGGGCCTGTATCCCTCACCTGGATATGTTTAAGTACTGGATATGAGGTCATTTTAAGATACAGTACTCTATGGTAGGTACGGTATGTACATATGAAATGTCAGAAAGATCAATCCAGTATTTCTGGAGATATATAGCGAGAACAAACTTCAAATGTCTTCTGGAGATATATACCGAGAACAAACTTCAAATGTCAAAATCAAGATGGCGGCCTGGTTCCCATCTTGTTTTAATGAATACATCCTAATGGTACCAGGCACTACTAGACAACTTGATGGAAACAAAATTGGGATTAAGTCTCGTAATCCCTATGGAAGAAGAAGACCCCATTTCAATGGTTTTACCTCTATTGGGCACCTCTTATCTGCCCCTAGGGAAGCCACACACACCGTTTATACAACTTGGCCCAATTATGCTCCAGACTAAATAAGGATACAATCCTTCTATACATACGCTAGAAAGATTTTAAAAGTTTTACCTCTATTTCCTCTAATGGGCCCCACCCCTCTGCCCAGACGGGGCCACACCCACCGTTTATACCAAATGTAATGCCCTTGGCTTAAGACTAAATTGGGATGAAATCCCTTAATCCCTATGGAATGGTTGTAGAAGGATTTTTAAGGTTAACCTCTATTTCCCCTATTGGGCCCGCCCCTCTGGCCCTGGGGGGGGGGGGGGTTCACACTCACCATTTATACAAAATTTAGTCTCCCCTTGGCCTAAAGATGCTCCAGTCTAAATTAGAATAAAATCCCCCAATCCCTACAGAAGAAGAAGGATTTTAAAGGTTTTACCTCTATTTCCCCTATTGGGCCCCGCCCCTCTGGCCCCAGGGGGGCCACACAAACCGTTTATACAAAATTGAGTCCACTTGGCCCAATTATGCCCGAGGGCAGGTGAGCTAAAAAGTACAACAAAATCCTTGAATTGATTTCCGAAAAAATATTATGGAACACGCAAAATATATAAGCTCGGTCAGGTAATGGGAAACAAACATATTTTTGAGACTAAAGTCCAGCATCATAATTGGTCAAAAGTTGGTTAACTATTACAACATTTTAGCAATAGGATGTAAAAAAAATCCACAAGTCTCAGCAATTTAGCAGTATTTTGGTGGTTAATAAGAACTAGAACACTGACAGGTCAGTAAGGGCCCCGTCTTGTGGCAATATATCTCCCATAATCATCAAGAAGCAATCTGCCCATATAGCTGAGCTTGACGTTTGGCATTTGGACTTCAAAAAGAATCGCAATGAAGCAAAATGTACATTTTACATGTTATGATGCAAGTCTTGTTTTCCTTCCACCTCCATATTTGCTGGGCTAACAGAAATGTAAATAATGGTTCAATACTCATTTGTTACTTTGATTTGTTTGATTTCACCTTAAATACCTCCTCCATCAAGAGCCAGGGTCAAAGTCAGTATTTTACTTTGTATTTGACCTTGCAAATGGGTGAAGGTCATTCATTTGAACTAACTTGGTAACCCTTCATCCCATGATGTTATTGACTATATATCATCACCCTGGTCCTTTTGGTTATATGGAAGAAGTCGTTTACAGTTTTCAACATATTTGACCCCTGTGACCTTGAAAAGAATTCAAGGTCATTCATTTGAACAATCTTGGTAGCCATTCATCCCAGCATGTTACTGGCCAAATACAAACACCCTAGGCATCTTGGTTATTCAGAAGAAATTGCTAAAAGGTTTTAAACATATTTGACCACTGTGACCTTGAATATAAGTCAAGCTCATTCATTTGAACAAACTTGGTAGTCCTTTATCCCAGAATGTAACTGGAAAAATAGCATCACCCTAGGCCTCTTGGTTATTCAGAAGAAGTCCTTAAAAGATTTTAACATATTTGACCCCTGTGAACTTGAAAATAGGCAAAGGTCATTCATTTTGACAAACTCCAAAGTCCTTTATTCCAGCATGCTACTGGACAAATATCATCATCCTAGGATTTTTGGTTATTCAAAAGAAGTTGTATTAAACGTTTTTAACATATTTGACCCCTGTGACCTTGAATATATGTCAAGGTCATTCATTTGAAAAAAAACTTAGTAGCCGTTCATGACAGCATGTTACTGGCCCGATATCATCGCCCTAAGCCTCTTGGTTATTTAGAAAAAGTCATTAAAGCTCTTCATTTAAGGATGCTACTGGTCAAATATCATCACCCTATGCCTCTTGGTTATTTCATGAACAGTTCATGAATTAGTTCATTAATTAGTTCATGAATTGTTCATGAATTTAATATGAACAGTTCATGAATTGTTCATGAAACGCCATGGCATAACAAAGTACTGAGAGTAGAATTTCCCTAACCTACTGTACATGTGACCCCTTGGTATTTAAGAGTATTTTTCTCTCATTCCAATCATAAAAATTAGCTTACCGTGGACAGTTCTGTCATATACTCATAGGAATGAAAGAATAATGTATCCCAATAGCATCGCTTCTGAGTACTTAACAAACATTCTCTCATTCAGTTTGCCGATTGGTTAAAACTGAGCAACTGAGAGAGGACGGTGGCATTATAACTTGAGTAAATTCAGCGTTTAAAAAAACCATTTGAACATAATTATATTTCAGTTGTTACCTTAAAAAACCAACAACTTCGAAACACAGTGTTCTTAGGAAATTGCAAGAGAAGACTGGGGTTTGAAGCTAAACTCTTGGCAGACACAGCTACCGTTTGAGCTAAATGGTCGCTGGCAATCAACCCAGTCTAGTTCCACAACATTCCTCCCTCACTACTACGTCTTCTCCCCCGACCACAACACTATTAACAACCCAGAGTTGGGAATTCCCTTTGCCAAGAATTCACCCAGTACTTTGAACAAGGGTTGGTCACAGGCACTACTGTAACAGATATTTTTTTACCTGACCCTACTTAGGGTATATTGTTCTATTCTTGTCTGTGAGTGATGATCATCTGAGGTTAAAAGGTTAAGTAATTATATGGAAGCTGATAGAGTCTGTTTTTAATTTAGCTGTTTTTTCACCTGTGGTTCAAGTGTAAATGATTGTGAAATGTGAATACCGTGACAATTGTGATTACAACATGTTGTTTTCAGATATCCCCTCCTGTGCAATGATTATGTACAAGATCTGGACTGGGTCGATCCTCGGCAACAAGGTAGCTCAATTGGTAGAGCATCCGTCAATAGTTGGTGGGTCCCTTGTTCGAAACCCCGGTCTGGTCATGCATTTTTCCTTATCTTGCTATAGTGGTGCATGTGTCCAGCCCTTGATTCAAGCATTTGGTGTACGCTTGACAAGGGGCGGTGTGTTCGAGGGCGATTAGGACTTAGAAAAAGGGGAAGGAATATAGCGGAACTGGACTGGGTCATTGGTCGGCAACCAGAGAGCTCAATTGGTAGAACGACAGTCTAGTGTTTGAGGTTCGTAGCCAGATCAAACTTGTTGTGCACATACATAGGTGTCAACCTCCCTCCTTAGGAGACAGACTCCCTCATTTTGATCAAAATGTATCAATCCCCTTGAAACTTCCTCATTGAGAGCCCATTGGAGCACACAGTACAGGGCAGCTGGGAGCTCAGGAATTAATTTTGGGTATTCAAACTAAAACAAAACCACATATTTTTGCACTTATCTAAAACTATTAAACTATAATTGTAATGTTGGTTCTTCATGTACACTACTTTTTTTTCTTCTTCTGAAGATGTAATACTGAACTATTTCAAGCACTGCCGAGCGTAGAAAGCAAGAATTTATCGGACATTATTTCCATTGACAAACAGATCGAGTGAGGCGTATAATATATATATAGTCCTCTGAGTTCGCAGTGTTATTCTGGGTTACATTTCACAGCGCAGAGTATTTATATTTTATGAAGACCGAGCGAGGTGAGTGTTAACAAGTTTAGTAAGAAAAGTGGTAAAAATGTAGATTTTTGGTTAAAATGTTGATGTTTGTGTCAGGCCCTTAAACTGGTCACTTGTCAAAGTTTAGGAGGGGGTGGGGGCTTTTCTTTAGATTCAGCTGATAATGCGCGTTAATCCTTTATGTACATATAGTTTAGGCGAGCATTTTGGCAATTTTATATTAATTTATTTTGTCATAAACATGAATTATGATTTATTTAACTGTTTGTCTTTTACTGTGAAATAGTATATGCATACATACAATGTATATACAGGGGCAACAACTAATGAACAAGAGGTCCATAGGGCCTGTATTGCCCACCTGGATATCTAAGCAATCATGGCAGAATATTCTCCAAATGAGATCCAAGGGAATATGCCAGACCCCAAGGCCAATCCTTGTAGCATATATATCTGTATTCAATTTTTCATGCCCAGCAATTTTATGTATGGTTATGGGGTGGGGATCTCAACTGTTTCCAAGCTGTGACTCAGAAACTAGGTCCCTACGGTTGTGGCCAGGCCCCAGGATCAATTCTAATATCATGACTGCATTTGTCTCTTTTTGCCCAGCATTTGTATATATAGTTTTGGGGTGGGGATTTCAACCGTTTCAAAGTTATGACCCAGGGGTTAAGTCTGCAAGGGTGGGGCAAACCCTGGGGTCAATTCTAATATCATGACTGCATTTGTCTCTTTATGCCCAACAATTGTATATATAGTTTTGGGGTGGGGATCTTAACCATTTCAAAGTTATGACCCAGGGGTTAAGTCTCCAAGGGTGGGGCAGTCCCCAAGGCCATCCTGGAAGCATATGTGCATTCATCTCTTTGTAATCGGCAATTGTCTATATGGTTATAGGGTGGGGATCTCAACTGTTTCCAAGCTGTGACTAAGAAACTAGGTCCCTAGGGGTTCGGTCAGACCCCAGGGTCTATTCTAATATTGTGACTGCATTCGTCTCTTTATGCCCAGCATTTGTATATATAGTTTTTGAGTGGGGATCTCAGCCGTTTTAAAGTTATGGCCCAAGGACTATGTTTCCAAGGGTGGGGCCAGACCCTAGGGCCATCCTGGAAGCAAATGTGCATTCTTCTCTTTATACTCAGCAATTGTATATGTGGTTATATGGTGGGGATCTCAACCATTTCCAGGCAATAAACTTTTTTTGGTCCCACCCCTTAGCCCGGGGGGTCAGCCCCACCATTTGTACAATTTTGAATCCCTGCATCCCATGAATGCTTTTGATTAAATATGATTGATATCCAGTGCATAGTTCTACAGAAGAAGTCGTTTATAGCAATCTAGCCAAATTGCCCCCTTTTTGGCCCCGCCCCTCAGCCCCCTGGGGGGTCAGCCCAACCATTTGTACAATTTTGAATCACCACCACCTAGGGATGCTTCCAGTCAAATATGGTTGATATCCATCTCTTAATTCCAGAGAAGAAGTCGCTTAAAGCAATATAGCCAAATTGCCCCGTTTTTGCCCCGCTCCTCAGCCCCCTGGGGGGTCAGCCCCACCATTTGTACAATTTTGATTCCCCACCACCTAAGGATGCTTCCAGTCAAATTTAGTTAAATTCCAATCAGTGGTTAAGAAGAAGAAGTCGTTTAAAGAAATTGTTGACGGACGGACGACGGACGCCACGGTATGGCATAAGCTCACCTTGGTCCTTTGGACCAGGTGAGCTAATCAGATGAACACGCTAGGCTTTTATGCTAACATTGGTTATTAATCATCGGATGAAGTGATGCCAAGGAGTTCGGGTCCTTAATTTTCATTGCCTTTGAAATTAATATTTTTTAATTGGTATATTAAATCACTCCTGGTGACCATGTGTGAAAATACAGGTACATTTATCATGAAATGGACTCTACCTTTGAAATAACACTTTACCTTTATACCTAATTCCAACAGATGGTATATAGTCCTCTCTCACCTGACAGGGAGATCACCACACCGTGACATTAGAACAATAAGATTAGGTAGAGTCAGTCCAGTGACCACCTGACTGGAGACCTTACTAATATATAGACAATGGAGGATTAATCCCCTATTGTTTAGAGTATAAGTAGCTATATGTATATAGTGAACTCCTTGTTTGGGCAACACCCTTAGGCATAGATATTAAAACTGAGTGCAAAGGGAAGGCATAGAAAATCATAGTTCAAGGGATGGTTGATATTAGAAGGAAATCCCATGTTAAATAGAGGAAAATCTTCAAAAACCTTGGGCCAGATTATTTTTGGACACAGAAAAAAGGGTGTTGCCTGGGCAACTAGGGCAACCCCCCTGGGTCCGCCACTGCAGGGGCATGCAACTACTATTTATATTGATCTTGTTCGACTTTCAGTCGCTGGGTACGTTAGTATTGGGATATAACCAGGTCCAGTACACTCTGCAGATTGAGCTATATAGTTGTAAAGACCTATTATAGCTCTATTGACCTATCTGAAATAGGTCTTTTGAGCTATTTTCATGCGATTTCTTTTTTAAGGAAAACGAAACAAAGTCGCTTTTAAAAGTAGATTTTATCATTAGATTGATAACATTAACAAAAGACATTAAATAAACGTATTTTCTTTTTAAATAATGATGTAAAAATTGAAAATTTTACATTTATGAAAAGTTAAAATCAAATTAGGCTAATTGTATGCTTTTTGTAGTCAACATTACCATAAACCTTACTGTTTTATGCGACTGATTTAATTTAATGAAAATTGAAATCTGAGAAAATATACATAGCTCAATACAGCTATAACTTATAAAGGACTTACACAATTAAATCATTTACTATATGTTATTACCAAACATTTTAGCTAATAACTTTAATATTTGAAGTTCAAAACTAGTGACAACTGTCTAGATTCATAAATACATACCTTGCAAAGGCTACAAAATGACTTTTTTGGTAGGTTTAGTGCCATATTGGAGTGTCACAGCGCCAAGCAGTTGACAACCGGAAGTTTACAAGCAAAACCGGTGACCCAAAACAGAAACGCCCCCAGACATTTTGCCCCTGTGCAAATCCGCACACAGACATGGAAATATATCAAAAGTATATATTTTTCAAAAGTTGAATACCTGAACATTTCATTTATCTAAAACTCTGTCATCAGTTCTTCATTAAACTCCTTCAGTGGCCCAGTAATTAGCCGGAACTTATTTCAGATAGGAACTACAATCATATGAAACACTTGCTGATTTAGTTGTGTGGGTCCTTAAAGGAAAACTTTACATTTTAAAATGTTGAAATGAAGTAAGTTTTTAAAAGTATATACATTACCGAGTAAAATGGTTAAGTTTGGTGGAAATGAAATGATAAGTTATGAAGAAAAACCAAGTTATAGCCCCTGATGTACATGTGCTATTCAGAGACAGCACCAAATAATTCTCATTTCACTTACTTAACATGAACCTCTAGCACACTAATTTAGCACATACTCAGCAATTTCATATTTTGCACACACATTTATAACCCATACCACTCACATTTTTTTGAAAAGAAATCTTGGTGACTCTGTTTCTGTCATTTTTACATTATCTTAAGTAATCAAATACTTAATTTGAGTAAATTTGATGGAATTTGACAATTTAACACACTTAGAATTCACACAAAACTCCAAAATTCTACACAAAACATGAGTCATAAAAGGTTATCAGATATCCATCCTAACTGATCAGCTATCAATTATACAGACTTACATATAGCACTTCTTTCTCCCTGGGGTGCCGGCACTTTACAGGGAAATATTGGGGGTAGGGGAGATGTAATGTAAACAGTTAATTATCTGAGTAACCACACAACAGAAACACATTAAACCAATAAACAAGATGTTGGTGAAGGTATATATTATGACAGGAATAACCATAAATCTACAATTCATTAAAAAAATGGAATTTAAGTTGGATTTAGCCAAAAAACCTATTTGTGACACATACACATACAGATACTCACATGTGCAACTTTTGTAAAAGCTTGTTCTGTGGTGCTGAGGGGCTACTTGCTGTTCATAGTCTTGCTGCGCACAGTATAACAGTTATGTAGAGACATTCAACCTATGACAAAATGAAAAATTCAAAAATCAAAAGACCGAACAAACAAGAGGCCCAATGGGCCTGCATCGCTCACCTGTTATTAATCTAACACTTGTAATCTTAAGATTTCATAAGAACCTATTAAAAGATTTAAACATATGACGCCTCTGACCTTGATTGTCGAACAAGGACATTAGGTTGAAAGTGGATCAAGGTCATTCATTTGAACTAACATGGTAATCCTTCATCCCAGCATGCTACAGGCC